GAATTTTCAGTGACTGTTTTATATATTTATAGGAACGAGAAGATAAATATTTATTATTGCTGTAGCTGTATTGTATTTTTACAAGTCGGCGAGTGACCTTTCTGCACCAGTCTGAACAAAATGAAGTGATTTGCATGGTATATTATTTAACTTTTGATGTAATTGCATTTATTTATTTATAACTTAATAATAATAAGCATTATTAAATTTTGTAATTGTTTACAGGTATACTCAATATAAATATTAATTCATTTTTTTTGACGTTTGAATTTCTTTGTTAATATTTTAATCATTTTTTTTTATTTCCGAATTCTAGTTTAAAATAACTTAATTATTATATATATATGATTCATAAGAGAAGTAATTTGTTGTTATAATCAGGAGTTATTTAATCAAAATACCATATGAATATTTAAAATGTATATTGATTTTATAAGTGATGTCACTTTTAATTGTAATTATTCAATACATTTATGTTTAACAAGTGACAACTTAAATTTAACTTTAAGGAACAGGACGATAATCATAAACACTGAACCGTGTATCTTCATCGAATGATAACACGATTATTGAATAGTCTTTCAACCGAATCGATGAGTAACTAACTGGTATTCAGTAGATCAAACTCATTGCCAAGCAAATCGCTGTACAATCATTAAATAATTCTGTTTTGATCGTATATTCAATAATTGCATTTTGTAATGACATATCGATATGCTGTTATGGTTGTATATTATATGTAAGATAGTATATTGATGCAGATGATGAGCATAATAACATATTTGATTTTATTTACCTCATAGAATTATTTGGTACGATCTGACTGGTAGTTGTATTGAGTAAGTGGTGATACAATGTTAGCACTACTAGTACAGTAGCCACATCAGATAAACACGAAGCAGTCGTATTATTTAACATAAACATGGATTCTCAACTAAGTCCATTAAAACTAAAAGTTCCTGCAAAGCGGAAAAGGGTTTTGATTAACTATAATAAATTTATCCTCTGCCAAACTCTAACCAAGGAGAAACTCAGTGAAGCACGTGAGGCTGGGAAAAGTACTTTGTTCAGGACATCTGAAGGAAGAAATGATGATGTTCTTGAGCGTCTCAGAGGAGTGGAAGGAACAATTGCAATGTACATCAGAGATATGTTGCTCTTCTAAGTAAACCAGTGATCAACCGGAGAATACAGTGTTGTACAATAGAAGCTGTTATGCAAGCTACACGAGTAAAACTAATGTTGTCTACTGCAAAGCAGGAATGTCACGTCAGGACGCATCTCCAATTGATGCTTATAGTACGCGCAAAAAAGAAAGATAGCTGCAACAGCATCCAATAAAGATGTATATATTATTTGCCTCAAGAAGTCATACAAACAAGATACAATATTATACAAAGTTGCAACAAAGGACAGAGAATTCAACCCAAGACAAGCTGCAAATGCAAGGGGTGATAGGGATATGTTACTTCGCATTGGTCCAGAAGATGGTCCTGATCTTGATGATGGTCAGGATATATTATATGATGAGGCATTCAAAAAGTTGACCAACGAAATAAAAGATGATCTTCTTAAACATGGTAAAGCTTTTCAACTTTCCATGTTATTAGAGATGTATAAAGCGAATTTGCCAGAAAGTGTAACAAAGGAAAGTTATCGGTCAGACAAGCTGGAAAAGAGATTGGTGAAATATTATGGAGATAAAATTACTATTCAAAAAGAATATGGTCAGGGAAAGTCTAATTTGATATTTAGCAGTTCAGTTTCTCTTTGTGGTGCCATCAGAGTTACTTCCGAATTAAAATAGAGATTGAAAGACAAAGAGCAAACATATCAGCCTATATATGAGACAAATGTATACAATATTCTCCATGAAGATGTCGGAGTTATTCATCAAGTCCTTAGCAGCATAACACGTTCAAATGAATATCCTGCTTGAAGTAGGCTTACATGCATCAGAAGAATGTGTCCTAAAATCATCAGATGATGCCTGAAAGTACCTATCTTTATCCGAATGTGCACATTTATGACATATGCTGCAGAGGAACAAATGGATAATAATAGTGATGTTTACATTCCGCCAGAAATCACACCTACAACACAAGGTGGTGCATTAATACATGAAGGAGATGACATGAATGCTGAAAAGATTGATGAAAAAAACAAACACTTTCCACTCTATGTCAAGGGTTATCTTCCAGAAGCAGAATGTCAACTCTACCAGCAACATTCCAAGCGTGGTGATAACAAATCACTTATTCTAACAGAAGCAGGAAACTCATTGACTGAATGCAGATACCAACACATCGTCCTGTACCTCCAAGATTAGAAAACCTTTGGAAGTGCTGAAATCATGTCCAGTAATGGTAAGTTGATTATTAACAAATTATCTGTATAATTGTTAAATTAATATGATGGATATAGTGTATTGCCGAATTAAAAACCAACATTTATATAATTATATTTTTTTCGATAAATTATCATATTTCAGAAAAGGGAACATTGTTGTTCATGATATTTCATGGGTATTTCTGAGAATGAGGAGTATTGCCTTTATATGCCGATGTACCAATGACCCAGGAAATCCCATTCTGGACTGGATACAATACGCAGCTATCGGAGACCAGTGATACCTAAACAGCAGTGGCCTATGCACCAATAATAGATGCCAAGCCAGCAGATCAGATATGTCTAAAGTGTTTACAACCATGGTCAAATGCAAAGAAATGACTAACCACGTGGGAATAGTAGTAACAATTCAAACCATGGATCAGCAACTCTTTGCCATTGCTCAACATATTAAATGGGCAGAATCTCGTCTTTTCCATCATACAGTACTACGACTTGGTGGTTTTCACACAACAAGTACTTCATGGCAACACTAGGTAAGCTTCGGCTCACAGATTCTGGGTTGTATGCAGCAGGCACAATCACGCAGATGCTTGAGGGAAAACAGAATAATCGTGCTGTTCGTGGAATCACTTTAGCATTTGAGGCTTTAATGGCACACTATATTCAGGGTTTTGTTAAGTGGTGTCCAACTGCGCTTCCAACTGTAATATGTGAAAAACTAGAAACTGTACAATTTGAAGTTTCTACTGGCATGTGATGTGAAGAATCTGTCACTGGCTTGGCTTCCAAATTTGAAAAGGTATGAAGAATGGGGCTCTACATAATCTCCTACCTTCAAGTTATGGGTAATGTTTCTTCATGCAGTATCAACATTGTTGATGAACATACGAGTTGAAAGAGAAGGTGATTGGTCCATGCACCTACAAGTGGATCGCATGCTGCCATATTTCTTTGCTTGTGACAGAGTTAACTATTCGAGATGGACACCGATTTACCTACTGAGCATGATAGAAATACCTGATAACATCAAGACCTCATTTGAAAATGGATAGTTTTCAGTGCGACAAATAGCATGTAGATTCAATGGCATCTGGTCAGACCTGGGCACAGAGAAAGCTATAATCCGTGATGCTAAAGGAAACAGTGGAAAAATTGGACACACCAGAAAGAAGCCTGCTTTGGTTCGCTGGACCCTGACTCGTCACTTGCTAAGTGATTAGCCACTTATCTGACAGCATGATAAGCCCATTTGAGGTAGATAATTATCCTGAAAATGTCCTCATCAATATAGCCACAGGACTGCATGCAAGTGTTGATGTACAAGCATAATTACTAAATGCCACTGACAAAGGAGAAGAGAAATGTGCAACATTTATCCATTCATCACTCTCATCAACATCCAAGAAACAATATATGATGCCATCCCGAGGTATTGCCTTCTCACATGCTCTGATATGACCAAAATGATAAAGATCGCCTGCAAAGGAAAACAATATATATGTGAAAATAAATTCAGAGTTAATATTCCGTAAAGCTCTGTTCATAGCAAAGACACGGGAGCTAACCATGGACTTTCTCCTACAATACCCAATAACAGCAATACCAACTTCACTATTCCATGAAGATGGTCAGATGCGCAAAACAAGAAAGGATGATTTGGCTCACAAGCTAGAGGATAAGGTGAAGAGTGTAGTTAGCCTGCCACAACTGCCTGCTTGGGATACTGCGTATATAAGAGATGCAATGGCAATTATCCAGTCTATGAATGGTAATCAATTCAAAACATTTGACGACTTGGCCAAGGTGTACCTCCATAGAATACAACAATGTTTCTCATAGGCAAACACTGTTGTAGATATGACAACCCAGAATCAGTTAAACAAGGAGAACGTGATAGACGACAAGCATTTGGACCAGAGGGAAGGCATTATCAAGTCATCGGTGGACGAGCAGTTCCACCATGGAGAAAATTTCTGAACAGTCTGAGTAATAAAGCAGCATTTGTGCCTTCTTGTTTCAGTATGTAGTAAATATATCATTAAATCATCTTAATGAGAATCCGCAACACACCATGTATCTGGCTGGAGGTTTTACTGATGGCACTGTCACCAAATGTGTGAATGCCAAAAGCACACAAGATGCATTCCATCTTTTTTCTAGTCACGAGGAAGCAGACACTAGGATGCTGTTGCGTGCTATGCATGCTGTTCAGTTTTCCAAAGAAACAAAGTAATGGGAAATATTGTAGTGCAGGCATCTGATACCGATGTAATGGTTCTATTGGTACATTATTTCATTCAGATGAAGAGCACCTCACAAGTTTGGAGGCAACTGGGTCGCACCACTACTATATCTGACAAACGCCGCTATCTTCTTACCCATGAGGTTTCAACAGAAACTGGTGACACATTTTGCAAGATTCTCCCAGCTGGTCACTGTTTAACTGGATGTGATTCAGTATCTCCTTTTTTGAAGGAATTGGGAAGAAGAAGGTCGTTAAATTGATTGAAGACAAAGGATCTGATTGCTATTCCGATTTAGATCTTATTGGTAAAGATAGTAATAATGCAGGTTATGCAGCTGCAGAGTAGTTGGTGATGCATTTGTATGATACAAAATCCCGCCAGGATCAAACAAACCTTAGTAAAATGAGAGTAAAGCTGGCCCAAAGGAAGGAAAAGTCACTCAACAAACTACCACCAAGCAAACCTGGCTTTGAGCAGCATGTTTTACGGGTATCATGGCAAACCAGAGTGTGGGTGTCATCACATATTGCCAAACCAGATGTTGTATCTCCTGTTGGACATGGATGGGAGACGAATGAAGAAACTAGAAGTATTTTACCCATATTTTTTATGGGCCCATCTGCAGCAGAGATTATATATGATCTGCTCTACTTGTGTTCCAGGACGAGAGCACATGTGTAGAAGAGTGTACCTGTACACAAAGTGGTCTAGCCTGTACAGAACTGTGTCCATGCAATGCTAGTGATAGATGTGGAAATGTGATAGCTGACGATGGTGACTCAGATGATGTCATTACAGATGCTTGAGACAATTGTATATATAATCTCATCATATTGAAACGATCATGATATGATTGATACGGTTTTCATGTATAGTTGTCATTATATATTTCTAGTCTGTGGTTTGGGGAAACACAAGTTGGGGTTAAATATGGGGGAGTGAAATCCAAGGAGACATATCAGGAGATCCTTTATTTATGACACACGTAGTATAGTACAGTATATGTTGTTTCCCTGTATTGAATGATCGCATTAGTTATAATTTTGATTGCAAGGTCAGTATGAGACATGTCACACTGTTTATCTTAGGCTATAATTTGTTTTATAAACTCATTTGTTACTTTGTTTCACGAAAAACACAGATTTACAAATGAGTTTAATTTTAAAATGCGTGATATAAGTGGTGCAGTTCTGAACTTCTCAATTATTTTCCTACAATTGTGATGAGATTGTACTTTACTAACAAAAGCTATACAACCATTTTTGTATTTAACAATCAGTATTGAGTTTTGCTTTTATAACTGTATATTGTCCACACACCTTTTTTCTACTTTTGTAAAATTGCACTTGTCATTATTGTATGCATATAATAATGATATATCATGTATTATAATTTAAATATTATTGATATTCCTTAATGATTATTTCTGTTGTTGACATTATTTATGAACCGATGTTGATGAAACTACTCAAGTGTATTGTTACTTTGTAAATGAGAACCGTTACAGCCTATATCAGCCATATTTAATTTATGCAAATATATGCAAATTGATATTTAATTGTCACTGTAGTTGTCACTTTATTCACTATAATAGATTATTTCAAAAAATCTAATGTTTGTTTCAAATAAATCACATCAAACCAGACGATTTACAGCATTTTACGACTAGAAAGGAGATTTTTACCAACATCATTTAACTAAAAATGTGAAGTGACAGGGGGTTAGTTAGCCAGTTTTTCTGGAAAACGGCACCATATTTCAAAACCACATAACATTTCTGAAAGCTGATAAAATTTGCTTTAAAATGATATATGTTGTGTGAGTGTGTATGAGGGGTGTATTCAACTTAAAAAAATAATGCCTTATTTTGGTATCCACCGCTCGCCTAATATACATGACGACAGTCCATTTGTCAACAACACTGAACAATTTAAACATGCTTAATTCGATACTCGCGTCGTCCCTTTCAGGACAATCGACAATTGGAGTAGCAACATACCAAACAACAGAAACACCAATGAAAACTGTATCTACTTTTGATACAACTGAAGGTGAGTGTTGTTATGAATCGCATTTGTAAAAACAAAACTTATATGGGAAACATTGTGTTACGGCATGTATAGGGTAGTTTTGTTGATTGGTATTGTTGATTTTATCAAATACCAACAACTGTTGCCATTCAAATAACTTTTTTTTGTGATCCTCCAATATGTATTAACGGTTTGTGAATTGCTTTTGATATTTCGCCAGTACATCAATTCATAAACTGTTAAAGTTTACTAACATGGCACTCTCTCTTAGTATAGTTATATCAATGAATATATATTATGTTCAACCCGCATATTATCAAGGAATTGCAATATCCATATCATGATCGTATCAAATTGTTCAGTTCTATTTCCTGCAATCACCTTCTTAGTTGCATTTAAAAAATGTAGTACGGTATTATATGTGTGACAACTCATAAGTGCTACTGAAATAATAGGGTAGTTTTTTTTTATTTTTTATACTTAAGGCACAGCAACACATTCAGTAACAAAATCATTCGTCACTGCTGCTGGTGAGTGCTGTAATTATTGATAATTCGCAATCATCACGCGGTATTCCGCGACACTTTGGGCCATTCATGCTATTACTTTTCTACATGCACTGAGATACTGCATTTGTTTATGTTCATATACATTTGAAATTCACAGCAACCGCTGACTTGTTTTCATTTAGCACATTCCGAAAACATACATGATGGTAGTCCATTTGTGAACAACACTGACAAATAATATTTTAAAATGTTTAATTCCTTAGGCACATCGTCCCTGCAACAACAATCGACAATTGGAGTGGCAACATACCAAGCAACAGAATCACCAATTACAATTCTTTCTACTTTTGATATAACTCAGGGTGTGTGTTGTTATGAATCGCATTTGTAAAAACAAAACTTACATGAGAAACATTGTATTACAGTATGTATAGGGTAGTTAATATCGATTGATATTGTTGTTTTTATCAAATACCAACAACTGTTGTTATGCCAGTCATTTTTTGCCAATCAATTAGTTTTCTTTACGCCAGAATTTCAATAAAATCACAAAAGTTTAATAGATTACCAACATGGCACCCTGTATTCGTAGTTAGAATCAGTATGAAACTTACACATGGTTATACCAATCAATAAATATGTTCAACTCACATATTTTCTGCACATATATCTGCATTGCCTTATAAACCAATGTGTATTATCTAATCAAAATATCTTTTTTAATATATTCAAACTTGTTTACATATACGTGTAGCATATCGTTCTTATCATAACCATAGGTAATGGTTGTGGTACCGCACCCAGAAACAGTCACATTTGTAACTGCTTGTTTTCGAACCTCAAATACTATCACATTTTTTTTTCTCATCTTCATTATTGACTATCCATTGTCGATTTAAACATTATATGTGCTTATATGTAAATTTCAAATAAATGTGACCAAAAGATCGTGCTAGTGTCAGGTCAGAATTTTTTCACTAATACGATTAACTTGTACCATAGTTAAGGGATTAAAACTATTGACTCAGATATGTGAAATATATATCGAATGACACTTTACGTGTGTGTAAATATTATAGACATGATCAAACTATAAAATACAAACACCAATTTTTTTTTCATGGTCGTGGACTTTTTTCTATTTGTTTATGTGTATTTTAAATCCCGTATGTATTGGTAATTACCAGTCGGTATTCCGTCTCTTTTCCGATGACGATTTGTGTGATAATCAGCGAATGACCTTTTGAATTTCATACAAACAAAATCTTATATATGAGATAATAATACAAAATTGCAGTATAATATGGTCTTGCTCTTATACTCTGTGAATTTGTATTTGTTAGAAATCAGTACTGTACTGAACAAATACAAAATACGTGACCCAAGTCTTTCTCTCAACAACACTTAAATATAATATTTTGCTTAATTGATTAGGTACATTGTCTATGCCACGACACTCAACAATTGGAGCTACAACTTCTCAAGTAACAGAAACACCAGTTACAACTTTACCTACTGTTGGTATAAATCAAGGTGCGTTTTGTAGTGAATTACATTAATTTTGTTAACAGTTAATTACATAATACATAATTTTACAGCATACGTGGAAGTTACGGTCGACTTCTCGATTGTTATTAATACTCGCACCTTTTTAAAAATAGTCAAAATAGTTCACGAACACAGACTTGTCATGACTAAATATTTAAGGTACCCTAAGTTATTGCATATGATCTAAGATTTTTTTAAACATATTTGAAATATTTCACTCCCTTTATGCCACACATACTCATTATTTTAAATGTACTTGCCAAGTTGGTTATAGATGAAAATTTTTAACTGCACATTATTTTTATATCATTTATTTGTAGTTGATAAGTCACTAAAATAAGTCTACTCGGTGATGTGCAGCAATTGTTTTTTAAATAATATGGAATGGCATCAAATAAATTATTGTATCTGCAAATAAATGTAATCCATACTGCACAGATCCACACGGCAAAATGATGTTATAATTGTTTTTAACTAACTCGGAATACACCCAAAATCGTCGTTGCAATTGTATTTATTTATTTATTTATTTATTTATTTATTTATTTACTTATTTATTTATTTATTTATTTATTTATTTATTTAATTCGTTTGTGTGTTTGTCTTGTAAGTTTGCGTGTATATTAATTTAACTATTCACGATAAAGTGAAAACTATCATGCTACATTATAGTTTCATTTGAATTAAACATAATCAAAATGTTATTCTAGAGGAATTTACAGAATGTTATGAAGATCCGAAAGGCCGTGACTATCGTGGAATGATCAACATTTCAGAAAATGGTTATGACTGCCTTTATTGGAATGAGCTTGATGACCGTTACTGGGTAACCCCGGAAAAATTCCCAGATACTGGTCTCGGTGATCATAATTACTGCAGGAACCCAGATAACGACCTCACTCCATGGTGTTATGTTGATAACAGTTCTATTGGATGGGATTTCTGTGATGTGTCAAACCCCCTCGAAGATTGCAGTATGTATCATCGTATATCATATCATCGTATACTCATGCATCTTTACGTCATCATTCCACTGTTAAATATGACTATTGTGTCAGTGCGTTAATAAATCAAATAGTAACACACACTGTATGTACATTATTAGAATAGGGTGGCCTACTGCTCACCGACATTTATATGTAAGTTATATAATTCAGACAATTTATCGTTATCAGGTGTGACCACAGTTGCTCCAAGTGTAATTACACCAATTTCGGCTACTACGATTGTTTCAGGTATGGTTTTCAATTATCTGAAATTATTTATTTTGTTATAATGAAATAGAAAGCTCAGTGGAGTTCATCCAGACGCATAGAAACCAAAGCTCGAGAAGGTGTCACGTTTGAATGATCTCTTCTGACTACTATCGCCCCAGGCACTGCACCTTTTGGCAAGGAGTTGCATCGTTTTATATTATTTTATAAAAGGTGAAATAGTATCAATACATTAAAATTGAAAAAACCCACTATACTATTATTATTTACAAACTTGGTTATGTTCACTATCAAGCCCTTCATTATATAAGTCGTGTCTATGTTGTGTACAAATAACAATTATCAATCCAAATTTCACAGAGTTATCGTATGTTCAATGTCTTTGGGTGAAAGATGTATTTTCATTTTCACAATAAGGACTATAGATAAACAGTAGATATTTATTATGTTCGATAATATGTAAATCGTGTATCAATGCACAAAAGGTAGACAGATAATCATTGTCATAAAAATGTGCACAAGTTTTTTTGTGTGATATTACAACAAGCGAGTAGTTGCACATTTGTATGTCACAGTCATAGCAAACATGTATTTAAGTTGAAATTTGTTCTCTTTAACGCGCAAGACCTGTCAAGATTTTAAGGTCAAAGCGGACTGTCACGGGTATTCTTGTGACATTAATAATTGAATAACTATAATACTTCAAATTTGCTTAATTCGTTAGGCACATTGTCCGTTCCACGACAATCAACAATTGGAGCGTCATCTTACCAAGTAACAGAAACATCAGTTACAACGTCACCTGCTGTTGATACAAATCAGGGTGAGTATGGTTATGAATGGCATTTGTTAAACAGATACATGTAATACATTATGTTACAGCATGCACATGAAAGTTATTGTCGATTCTTGTCTGTGTTCACATCCAAACGACTGTTTAAGTTCATGGATTACCTTGAATATTTCGCCAATATACAATTCAATATAATGTATTCACATTTTTTTGGTCGTTCAAGTTATTTTACAACATGACACATTGTTTATGGTAGAGTCAATATAAAACTTGTCAGTCAACAGTCAAGTCTCAATAATTTCACTAGTATGATGAGCTCATTCTATGATAATGTGATTCAATTACGTAAAATATAGTTTAGAATGATTCATTTTGTAATGAATGTTACGGTTATTTAGCATGTACGCGCGTGTAAAAACCAAAGGCATGATCACATTAAAAACTTTTTTTTATGGTCGTGGACGTTTTTATATTTTTTTATGTGCATTGTTTTAATGTACTGGCCAAGTTATGGATTTATTTTGAGTTGATAAATCGCTAAAGTTGTGAATGCACTTTATCGCTACTACAAATAATAATTCTCCTAGGTCTTAGTAGAAGGCACATAATGCTAAGTATTGGAGTGGTTAGACGAATATGTTGCTGTTATTTCATTGGAAGGCGCGCACTTCAGCCTTTTACTAATACATCGCGTGCCCAGTTGACGGAATTTAATATACATTATAAAAAAAATATTGTAATTACAATACGCAATTATAATGCAAAAAGAAATAGTATTGCCTGTCGATGGTAAAGAGCGAACTACAATAAGGAACGTAGGATTCAATATACGTGGTTAAATGTATTTCATACAAATATATTTGATCATTTTGTGACACGTACTTGATTAAAAGTTTTTTTACTTCGCATGTAAAAAAAAAAAAAACAAATACATAATTTTAATTGGAGTATTGATAATTGCTCGAATAATAATTTAAAAAAAAACAGCCTAAATGTGTTATTGTTCGAAAATTGTTATATATATTTAAATTGTACATATTAAATAAGTTATGCTGCTGATTTCAGATATAAGCACCGGAGATGTTTTCACAGAATATGCTACGACGGAAGCAATTGAAAAAACGCTTAGACCTTCGTTTGAGCCAGGTGAGTTTTACTTTGACTATAAATCGAACAATTTAAGTTTTTCGCAATTGGATAGGTATTTTTATTTCACAAATATATAAATAGAGATATAATTTCACTATAAATAGAAACATGTGTATATTAGTTTATGCATGGTTTAACATTATTAGGTTTTAATTAAAGTGCGATTTTTTGAAACATGAAATCTGGACAATATATATGCAATCAGAATCATAAACTATTATGCCCCCCCCTAAGATAGAACACACCGAAAAGTAGATTAACACAATTTGCAAACCAGAAAAACATACATACAAATGTGACCACACATACAACAGGTATCATAAACACTATTTATTCAACCGGTCTAATCAATGCAAATGATATTGCATCTTTTACTGGATACTACCTGTGATTGTAATAAGACACTTGCATACAATTTAAAAAAAATGTCGGAAGATGTACATGTTGTTGCTTGTGGGGTTCTACTCAAAAGACGTGTTCTAAAATGTGAAATATGTTTACACTGTTATAAGAGTAGAATTCAATGACATACATGCAATACGTACATTTTCTATATTTAAACATTTTCTCATTAATATATTTCAGTATTTATGGAACACGTTTTATACAGTTAATTAATTGAAAGCTGTTTAGTAACCCCCAGAGGACTAAAAAAGCGTTTGTGTTGGTGATGTACACAACGTGTCAAAACGATTATCTCCTGTTGCAGATGAAGTTTGTTTGAATTTCACTAAAATACTTCCTATTACAAACTGTTTAAAGGTGTACTATGGCACTCTTGTAAATTATTATAATATTTACTATATTTAGAGTTAACTTCCATATCTGAAACAACAAAAGCCGTTATACCTTGATAATATGTATACTATTTCGAAAACAACCTACTGATCGTTGCATTAGGTGTACTATGCCACTTCTTTAAAATATTGTAATGTTTTTAATCTTTAGAGTTAACTTCCACATCTGAAACAACACAAGCTGCGACCACAGACTTAAAAACCTCAAATGAATATGTAACTATAATGGAAAAAGGTAAACTAGTATATTGTAAAGACTGTATAGTTTGGCCTTGCATTGAAAATTGCATTGAATCTAGACAGTTTTACAATTGTCAAACATATTGAGCTAATACTCTTTTATTTTTAGATATAACTTCGGCAGCTGAAACTACATCATATGGTACAACAGACTCAGAAATAACAACTAAATATATGACCACATACACAACAGGTAAACCGGCCTACTCTTCTCTTGGTTCGTTATTGTATTTTAAATGTTGTTTTTCTAGATATTTTGCACCGCGTTTCAAAAATATTGCAAAATCATTTGAGGAACACATACTACTAAAGAATCCGAGATACCATGTGATATGCTCTGAGTAACTCAATATCAGTTTGTCGACGTTTCGTATATTTTATTTAAAAATGTGCACAAAAGGTTTATAATAGTAAACTCATAAACTACCATGTTCTCGCTCACACCGCAAAGTAGCTTAACATAATTTACCAACCAGAAAAACATATATGCAATTGTGACCACACACACAGCAGGTAACTTATGTACTATTAATTCAACTGCTCAATGAAAACAATATTGCAAATGTTTACTGGTTACTGCATGGCGTACTATTGTGATAAAAACACTTGCATGCTAGTTTTTTTTAAAAAAATGTCGGAAGATGTACATTCATATTGTTGTGCGTATGGTTGTACAGAAAATACGTGTTCCAAAGTATAAAACATATATTTTATGTCATACATACAATATCATTACTGGTAAATATTTACTAGATTTAAATATTTTCTTATTAATATAATTCAGTATTTATGAAAAGCGTTTGTTTTATACAGTTAAATAATTTCTAAAAATACAGAACTAAAAAAATATTGTGTTGGTGATGTACAAAACGCATATCTTGTGTTGCAGATGAAGTTTGTTTGAATTTCACTAAAATTGCTTCCTATTACAAACTGTTTAAAGGTGTACCATGGCACTTATGTAAAATATTATAATATTTACTATATTTAGAGTTAACGTCCATATCTGAAACAACAAAAGCTGGGACCACATACTCCAGAAATGAATTTGCAACCACAATCGAAAAAGGTAAACTAGTTTATTGTTTATTGTATTTCATCTTGCATTGTAAATTGAATTAAATCTAGACAGTTTTATACCTGTCAACAATATTGAGATAATACCTTTTTATTTTCAGATTTAACTTCGACAGATGAAATTACATCATATACAACATACTCAGACCATACAACTAAACATATGACCTCATACAAAACAGGTGAAGTGGGCTACTATATTCTTGGTTCGGTATTGTATTTTAAATGTTGTTTTCTAGACATTTTGAACCACGTGTCGAAAATATTGGGAAATTATTTGTGGAACACATATAGTCTTGCAACTATTGTTTCGACAATATAATTCGTGCATTTGCATAAAAGTTGAATAATTAATTTTGCCATTCAAGATATTTTAAATGATGACTCTAAAACACAATGTTTGTCTAAATTAAAATTTTTACTTTGTTGCCACGATAATAATTTCGTTATTGCAATATAAGTATGACGAAGAAGCAGTTAACCACGTGAATTAAATGTTGTTGCACTGTATTATTAGAATATAGTTAGCAGATTCTCACTACAGACTATATTACCTAGACTATTCTGTCTACCATAACAACAGTGTTAAATAATGCGATATTTTCTATTCTAAGAGTTAAGCAGATGACTACATCACATTTCATCACATAATTCGAAACTGCAACTTAATATGTATTTATATACAACAGAGAAGGTGTCATATTGATACTTAGGATATAGGATATGCAAACATATGCGCAATCATCGTTGTTATATAATACTACTATGGGCTGTTATCATTAGAGAAGATTAATATAATACATATATTATCATATCTGATACGCATAATAGCAAAGCAAGACCGTTTCATCAAGCGAACATATTTTTAAATAATACAACACCATATGTTAGTATATTATATATCTATATTACACATATTATAAAAACACAAGATATCCTAATTTTTACGTTTTTTGGCATTGTAATATATTAAACTAGGATGAGTTGATTTTTTGTTTAAACTTTATTTTCAGAACAAAGCTCGGAGATTGGCACTACAGACTATTTTACCACAGAATCCAAAATAACAACAGCTAGCACTGCTTCACCTGGACCAGGTAAATATACAAATACTCTTGTCAGTGCTTAGAGAAATTAAACCTGCAATAGTACCGTGACATAACACCCTTTAATAGTGTAAATATTTGAAAGCGAACTTTCTTATATACTATTTTGTATATACTATATGTCTGTGGCATACCCACTCAGAATGGGGGTCAACCACTGTCCATATTCAGCTTAAAGTAAGATTTGAACTAATTCGTACCAGTGTGTTTTGATGATCAACAATGATAATAATATGATGATAATATAGCGCTTTAGAGATTGTCAACACTGGACACAAATTAACTTATAATACTTGGGTGGCATATCAGTGATATAATTGGCAAAGAAAAAATGGATTGTCCTCACGACAATTTATTTGTTCACCATCACCACCATATCCCGTCGTGTAATGTAATTGTGGATGAATCGCTATGTAACCGAATCTTTAACTTCAGTGTATTGTAATACGATGCTTTTTATTCTGCCTCAGATCACCCTTATATCGATCATGGCTGTAGTCGTTATCATGTGTACACTAATAAGCTAAATTGGTTTGATTCAAAAATCCAATGCGAAAGAAATGATGGTGCGCTTGCCTCATTGTACTTAGAAGAAATATTCATAGCTGTTCGTTCATATATTATCAATGGTAACTTCAATCGTGGTGTAAAGGGTTATTGGATCGGGCTTACTGATAATAATAGTGACGGTCTATTCGAATGGCTGAATGACGAACCGCTTGGATGGACGAGTTGGTCATCAAGGAATCCAAACAATAGAGGAAACTGCGTACAGTTACGGTGAGTTTTGTTTATTATCAATCAGTTGTGGTCGCAATAGCTATTAAATTAACTTCCCCAAAAATTGTTTTTATTGTTGCAACTGAATGTAATCTCAGAAATGTATATGTCTTGTCTCGATCCTTGAATTAATAGATAATCATATAATTTCTTCTGTTGTGCGAATCTCATGCGCATTTAATTTATAAATTTTGAATTTTCAAAACATGTCTTACTTATCACCTTATAGAGAGACCAAACGCCAATAACACTCGATACGACCCCCCCCCAAAAAAACAAACAAACAAACATTAAATGACACACACTTTTCAAAGCATTTTAAATTTTTCGACAGGAAACGTAAACATTATGATTGGGACGACTTTAAATGTAATGCTGAAAGAGGATACATATGCCAAACGTAAGTTTAAACTTCCCAAATCAATAATTATTAAAGTAAGCAAAGGCATTACGATTTATGTACGCGTGTCAAAAAATGGGTCTATTATTATTTTTATCAATCCTCGAAGTATGTCATTATAAAATACTAGTACCCAAAAGTAATAGTCAATGTCCAGGTTATTTGCAAAAATCCAAGTTTAAACTTTGTCCGGCGTAAGCAGAAGATGTCCCCAGGCACCATGTTTATCAATATTCTTAACATTTAGCAGATCTGTAACAATCCCCACTAAATGTTCATATTAAAATACTTTGTATATTATTAATTCGTAATAAATTTAATTTCAAGGTTCGAATGCGTGATTTTATGCCGCAGTCCTGGCGCGTTTAAACCCTTGGGATATTTTACTATAATAGGATGTGTCTACATCGCGCGTTAAAATTTGCATATAACATTAGCGCGTAACTAAGATTGTGATAAAGAAAAGAGTGGTATAAAAAAAGATCAGTGATTACTTGAAATCGATTCCAGGAAGGCGGGGGGGGGGTAAAAGAAAAGTTATATAACATTTTATTATTTAATAATTTATTAAAATACATAAGTATTACGTACTAGCAGTGGCCTAAAACGCCAGGGTAGATTTGTCGAAGAAAAGATCAATGGTTCGCCCCGGGTAACAGTAGCGATCGTACAAACGAAACATGTCGACAGACTTAATACGTATGAACTTTCTTTTCTGTCTATTATTACAGTGACTTGTCCAACTGCGCCGAATAGATATGAAGAAATTTACAAATAATAGAACCAGTATTTGTAGTTTTGATGTATCACACGTGATTTTAGCAAGTCAACCAAACCAACATATTAATTGAATGATGAAGCTTATTACAAATTACAGGGCGTTATGCAATATAGATATAGTAGAGATATAATACACTAAAACAGGATAAATATTATTATTTGCTGTATATGTAACCTTTATTAGTTCACCTATTTCAGTATGTAGGATTGCTTCTTTTTAATATTGTTATCAACAATACCATTGATATTCTGTTGATTCATGGCGTATAAGGATTCAGTTTATGTAAAATATTTATCTATGCTAGCATAGGTACGATCGCCGAACTTATTTACGTTCTTTCTGTGCATGTGCAATAAACAGTTTGGAAAAAAAACATGTCGTTGGCACCGAAGATAGTATAATAACGTTGTTCTCTGCCTTTTTATTCAAATATACATGTTTTCCTATTAATCAAACAACTTATGTTAATATAGTCACATCCGTTTGAAAGGCTTTGTTGATCAGTGGGTGACTTTGTATGCTGTTTGGCAAAAATGCAAAAAGTATACATCATAACTACATTCATTTTGAACATACATATTGCAATAATTGATGTAAAATGCATATTGGTTAAACAGTGTTATTAAACGGCTATGTTTATTCAATTTAATAATCGGTGTATGCATGTTCATTCTCTCGCGCAACATAGAGAGATTGGATTGAATTTCTTGAACTAGGGTTGGCCATTTATTTTCATCTCTGATTTCCAATCTAAGTATATACATTACTAGATTAAGAATATTACAGTATGCAGGACAAGAGTAAATGTCATCGTTCAATTCAATACGATGTATTTCATCTAGTTTTTAATAATCTTTCAAACAGAATAAATGCACTAGCAGAAATATTATTCACGGTTTCGATTGTTCGCATGTACTACAGTAATATAAAAAAAACGATTTTCCACTTATACATGTTTCAGTTCGAAGATAAATAAATAGCATTACTAAATTCTACTTTCACAATCTATTTTATTAGTTTATTTATCTGAAATACACACTACAGTACACGTGCCATCAATAGTGGTGTTTACTTACCAATTTTATAATACATTACAACATAGGCATACAAGATATCTCATAAGTGACTAGAAATTATTATTAAACTTATTATTAACTTATTATAAACAGACACTGTTGGTCGAGACTATCGTAATATATTTTTTATTACGCATATTCGTTTGACAGCTTGTAAAGTTTAAAAACTAATACAGTGATCGTGATTATCGAACGCTTATTCATAGACGTAAATCATAAACAACGATTAAGTAATATATTGTTTCCAAGAACAAAAGTTATTGTTGAACCACCACTATATTTATGGTTCTACGTGGAAATATTTAGAGTAAATTGCCACTTTTCTGCGTTGTCAAATTTTGAAATGACGTCTCAAATATATTCGATTTTATACAACACAGCTTATATCTGAAAAAAACAGATACATTCAAAAAAATATCAATAAGAATCATTTTAAAAAAAAAGTGTGTGAAACAGCTAATGTAACAGTTCTGATAAACAGTTATGTTTGCAATGTCGAATCACATTTTCGGTACTTCACTTACTTCTTATAGAAAATAATTACACTGATTTATTATACTGAGCTGCAAATATAAATATATATATATGATACATATTTTTATAATATGGCGTCACATTTAGAAAAATGTTAATGCTAAATAGCATATGTTGTCAGAACAATTATAATATGGTCGGAAATATTTTCGAATTGTAAAATGACTCACTGTATAAACTGCGTTTGAGAAGGATACGGCCACTCATTAGCGATGACGTCACACTCTTTGGAAAATTGAGGGACTATATGAAGGTATTTAATAAAATTTTAATATTGGTAATAATTATAGAATGTTTGAATATTTCCAAGATTTACGGCGTATTTGCTGTATATATTATTTATGTATTCGTATATATAAAATTCAATTTACGATATGGTATTCACAATTGTAAGATGTTCGAAAATGGTAAAATGAGGAATACACTGTCATCTTTCTTCGTACATGATAAACGTTCAGATAATATTGTTAGCACAATTTGCGAGAGGAGAGAGGATCATCCTATACAAGCCCAATGTGAATTGTCACATATAAATCTCCACCTGGTTACCATTTGTCCAAGTACTGCCAAACTAGCATTAGTAATGAGCGTGGATGAGTATCAAGTATTATATATTATTATACATCTTACTGTCTTAGTGCATATATATATATAGCAGCTTTTACTGAACACATATGACATGCGCAATGGTTAGTATCCATTTTCATTCAGAAATGAAATGTTGTGTCATTATGCTGTCTGCCGGAAATGTACACATTTAATGCACGTATAATGTACACAGCGAACATTGTGCATTGTGCGAACATGCATTTCAAAAGTTAAGGTCACTACTACTTTTTAACATCAAATATTCATAATTCTAATATATGCATTGAAAACGCAAGACTGGTTAATGCGTTTTCTCATACTTTGTTAAAACATATTGTACGTATATTAGGGAATGTTCGTGTGCAAAGAGTCGTTAGGCTCATAAGGTGTACAGTTTCTCTGGAGCTCTCAAATCTTTGCATTGGATTAAACCTCCTAACAAGCTTTTATTGGTTTGTTTAGTTTATATTTATCAAACAAGAATCTCGAAATCATAGAAATGCCCGGAGCATGATATTCATCTTCGTATTGTGTTTAACCGGTAGTGAATTCTAACGAGCGCGCTATGCAGAAACAATATGTTTCTCTGAAACTATGTGTAAGTTCACGCAGCGGGGGTAAATGATGTCTGGTGTTGAAAATATTGTGCCGTGTTATTGACACAACCGTTGAGAAAGTATATTGCAGCGATAGTCTGCACGTTACTAAAAAGAACACTCCCTCTAATCCAGACAACGTCACTCACTAGTCCGCCATTTTGCATGCACGTAGTACATGCATGTACTGGTCACCGAAGGGAAACTCATTTGTAAGCAGGATAAGGTAAGTCAGATCGTTTCAATGATTATCTTTGACATACACAGAAAAAACAGTTATATACACATAAACTAATAGTGGCAACTGATAAACAGCTGTATTGAACACGTCATGCGGAAATTGTAATCTAGTAGAAGCCATTGTACTAAGACTAAATAGGATAGGAGCGAGAGATCAAATTTAATGGCGCAGAAATAAAACGTCGAGTATTATATGTCGGCAATGATGCTTTATCATGTTAATGATAACAAATACGCTCATTATGAGTGTGCATTCAGAAGTAACAAAAAAGACACTAAACTGATACACAGTATCATAACTCATCACATTATTGTATGCATTTATTTTACTATTTATTAGTTTCTTCATACTTATCATTTATACTCATATCGATGAACACTATTATTATAATTCAAACTATGTTGATCGACATATTGGTCATTGTATTCGTAAAACATTCAATGGATTTTTTCGCTTCTATATCACTTCTCGATATGAGTAGATTATACATTTGTGAGAGGTTAATTACAAACGTCATTTATAAATGCATGTTCAGTAAATAATTATGTGTCCCGGATAATGAACAACACATACTGTATTGCAGTATTATTTCTAACGCGTGAACCAAAAAGATACATTATTAACAGTATTAGTTTTATCACAATCCTGAGTGTTAAAAATACCTGCTGTAACGAGAAAACAGAATACATTCGTAGAAAGCATGGTACGATTTAGTAGTGCGCTGAATGCGTCCATGTAATCCTATGTTGTTTAACACCATGAAGTTACAAATAAAAACGGTCATTTATAATATTATATTAATGAATTTGCGAATATAAATATATTTCTTAGCAGAAACGTTTTTTTAATTATTTTGATTTCGTTAAACAAAGCATACAATAACACGGGATAATTTAGAAATTATGTTGAAAAAATAATGTGTGTTTAGTCAGATATTTATTTGTTATGACCCCATTATGAACAGCTGTGCGACTAGCAGTGTTTTCCTGTCAATGAGATTATTACGTTCTACCAGAGGCATAATTTCTCGTTAAATCTCATCACAATCCTCTGCAGGTAATATTAGTATATATTTCACAAGAAATCAAAAGATATATATTGTTCAAAATGAATATTCTGTATACCATACGACATAAATAATTCAAGTAATTACAGACATTACATGTTTGATAAATATTATCCAATATAAATATTCAATTGAATAGACATATATATTAATATAACTACCGTATTTTCATTGTTACTGATACCAATATTCATCTTTGCAGACATTAACGCATACTCTCACATGGCAGGGTCGGTAAGTGTGTTGGTTTATAGCTGATTTGTTTATACTATAACTCACATGAGATACATCTATAGCATACAAAAAGTGAATTAAAATTTGCAATGGAGATATATGAGCATTTCGCATCTCAAATGTTAATGTCTCAAACCAGAGTCGAGTTTGTCCATAACATTTTTGATTTATTCAAAAATATATTTCTATTTCACATTAAGTAATAGTCTAGACTGTATCTGTCATAATATGCTGTGAATTTGTGTCAAGTACAGTAAAATAAATCATGCATCTATTCTGTATTTTGACTTGCCAAAAACTCTATGGTACTTTTCTAAAAAAATAATCAAACTATTTATCCAGATTAATATTCCATGGTTTGGAAGGTTAACTAAAATAAAACGTCATGAATTCCATTGTTTTATAGCAGTTTTTATTTTATAGCACTCTACCCTGGCATTATTGTGTGACACAGTGTGGCCATGCCAAAATGTGGTATTCTTACTGTGCCGAGTTTCCAGTAAAACTCTCAGGCAACACAAATTTATCATTGTATTAATGAGCGCAGTTTTATTAGTAAGGGTATTCCCCGACAAGGATCTATCTACACAAATAAACCACCATATACTAATTTATGTTTCCCAAGTGTTTCATCTTATTACTTTGCAATTCAGTGCAGGTTGCTGACTGGCTGCTGTTTTTTCACTGTTTCACTAACTGAGCATAGTACATCATTAAGTAGACACGTAGCTTCGTGAGATTTGATAAAATATAGATAATAATTTGTAACACCATGGCTATTTTTTGCTGACCAATAATAAGACTTTACCATAGAACAGTTTAGGAAGCTTCTTCCATGCCATCTACCTATATGCTCGACTTTTGTTTGTTAACAAACAGGCAAAACCCTGGTACTACCAATCCAGTAATTTTGGTGTTATTGGAATATGCATTGGGTCTGTTCTGCTCGCTTGTGCTTTAACGATATTTATATTGATACTGGTATTTACAGACAAAGATGTGTCTGAAATAGGTACGTACGCACTTTCTTTAACATTTACTAGTAAATAACACATCGCTGTCCCGCCTGGTTTGAACTGAAGCTTATAACATAAGTTCATTTTTTCACCAGAGCAAGTTGCCAATTTTACCGAGTGTTATGAAGAAGCGGATGGAAAAGATTACAGAGGTGTTGTTAACACGACGATGAATGGAGAAGAATGTGCAATTTGGACTTCTGACAACACGCACCAGCACGGGAAAACGCCCGAAAATTACCCGGATTCAGGACTCGGAGACCACAATTACTGCCGGAATCCAGACGGAGATATGGGGGCATGGTGTTACACAACGAATCTCGACATTCCTTGGGAGTTCTGTAACATTGGGCCTCCCCGAGAAGATTGTAGTAAGCATACTTAAGTATATATTGTATATAATGTATTATCCCCTACTGAAATAATCGATAAAATAGATAAATATCACCATACACTAAAATAATATGCTAGTTATAGTATGTTATAAGTATTACACAAAAAAACGTAAAAAACTAAACATTCTTATTTGTGACAATCTCAACGATCTTCTCAAAATCAGTAAGTGAAACATACTTTCTGCAAAAGAAATAGATGCTATAACAATATTATTAACAGGCACACACAAGCAAATAAATGGATATTGATGTGAAAAGCATACAGCTTTGATGGTCATTTGACTGTTGTGTATGATTACATGCACGACAGCTGTTAGGTCAGGTGTTTATTTATTATGTTATTCCAGCTAAGTATGCTTAATTCACCGGCGTGTTTTATATTCGCTGTAAATTACCGACGCTTGTCCTTTATATTATTTCATATGGTAGACGTTAATGGTTGATGTGTTGTAATTGAATGTCAGTATATTGGCATGATCGCAACACACGTCTCCAAAAAATGGACAATTAACGATCGATTCGACTGAGTAAAGTGTCATAAACAAAATGTTGGAATCCAGGCTTACTTTCAACAATTTAGCGTAACGCCAGGTTTTGGATTGAGTGCTTTATTTCAACTGGTTCATTTGTTTTGAGTTTTATCGTATTTTCATGATACAATGATAATGATTTTAGCCACCGTTTATTTTTAATTCAAATTCAAATGTGAAGACTAACACATTGTTTGTCTATGTGAATACAGGTGCAACGACAATTGAACCGAACGAGACAGCAATATTAACGACACCATATCGCACATTTTCTGGTGAGTTCAGCTATTCAATAATTAATTAACTCAGTTTGTATCAGTAAATACATTAACTTCTTACACATTAGTACGAATTATTTCATGACGAACATTTCCGGCTGGGTAAAGGTAGATAGTAACTGGGTAATGATATGAATTGTAAATACCTTTTTTGCGCTTTTAGTATTATCTTAGCGCAATGAAATGAAGGCTGCTGTAAGTTAGCATTTAGATGGTATAACTGACAGGCAAGAGAACAACACGCATTGTGATACTAATACATTGATTTTATCCTTCTCACAGGTGAAACAACATCATTGTCAGACGTGAATGTTAACACATCATCTCGAACAAATGCAGGTTAGAATTTGATACAAATTGAAATAAACATACATAGAAAATATCACAAAGTTATGGAACTACATGACACAATATCAAATAAGAAAGCTGTCTGACATGTGTTATATATAGTTATGTTAAATTTGAATATATAGTTGTTTTATCTGGAACAATCAGCAAGAAAATGTTAGCATACATGATTGTAAGCTAAGCATATCATTATCATAAATTAACACCTGCCAACTTGTTTCCACAGCAGAATATACAATTTCGCCAAGGATGTTTTCCACGAGAATGGGAGCCGTTGCCACGACTGAAACTACAACGATGACAGCAACCACCTATTCACCCGGTATGTGCATGTAATATTACAGGCAGTCTGGAAGGTTAAAGCTAATTTATAAGTCAACGTTTCCAACAGCCGATTTGATATATTTATTTTCTCAACAGAACATGAGTGTTACACACGTGCGGACGGAAGTGATTATCGCGGACTAGTCCATGTAACGTCCATGGGAATAAATTGTCAGAAATGGAGTTCTCAGAGTCCGCACCCGCACAACAGACTTCCTTACCTCTACCCAAATGCTGGTCTAGGAGATCATAATTACTGCCGAAATCCCGACGGAGAAATGGGAGTATGGTGTTATACTATGAACCCTGATATTCGACGACAACAATGTTCAATTGGGAATTCTATGGAATCATGTGGTTAGTTTTTATTGCGAACATAAATGCGGCCAGAAAACAACAAGAAATAAACAACAAATGCAACATGAAGATAAATACTAAAAATAAAACAATGTTTCTATAAATAATCTAATCAGTTAATCTGTATCAGAGCATGCACTTTATAATCCAGAAAACGTTTTTTTAACATGAACGTTACCATATGTTGATGTTCATTTATTTACAGTACATTTACTATAAAATTGAATTTTGTAGTTAACGTCATATGCGTTAAAAGGGTGAATTAAAAATAAAGGTTGGATAAACCATCCTTCTGTGAATATTTGTATTTTACAGGTTGTTGACCATATACAATATAATTTATTTTTGACATTGACGTTACTGTTATTTCTGAAATAGATGTAATATTTTCAAAATGACAGTGTCAGTCCAATCGTTAACAACCTGAATATTTTCCATTTCTTGGTACTCCTGAGTGTAATTTATCCGTATATATTTTGTTCTCAGGGAACGGAGAATGCTTCGTAGAAACTGATGGGAGTGATTATCGGGGGTTGATCCAGAAGACTGTTCATGGGAAATTGTGTCAGAAGTGGACTGCACAGTATCCCCATTCTCACAACACGATCGATGTAAACTTCCCAAATTCTGGCCTGGGAGATCATAATTATTGTCGAAATCCTGATAGAGAAATTGGAGTTTGGTGTTATACCACTGACGTGAATACACGCAAAGAGCTTTGTGACATTGGCGAACCAAGTGACACATGTGGTAGGTACAGACGCTGATATCAGACCCTTTCATGGAGTGTATAATGAAATAATAATTACAAAACATTTCAAAAGGGATGACAATGGTATTGCGTGTGTATTGTATTGCAGAACCATTAGTTATGCCTGTTAATATGAGTAGATCATACGCTAAAGGGTGAACTGGCCAACAGTTTAGATTACCAAAACACTATATGATACGAACATATAATTGTAACATCGTTTCAAACATAAACTAATGTTTGTGTGACACAATGCGCTAATTAAAAAAATTGAAACAATACACATTTTGTCCTGATTGCAGGTATTTCCCCCAATAATAATGAAAGAAACAATGATCATTCGAAATTAATGACGAAATGCGACAGTTCCGAACATTGAATGTCATTGTTGACTCTTCTGACTTTTTTGTATGTGCAAATTGCAAGTGCTATACTAGTGCTGACACTTAGCTTGGGACTACATGACATGGCTGTGCAATTTTAATGCTCTCTCCTGGCGACAACCAGTCTCGGTCGAATACAAGCACCTGCGGACCCTAACCAAGGCCCCCCAAAGTCGCATTAGTTTGGGAATGAATCTCGGCCAGTGGAATAGGCATTACCATTGAGTATGTGGCACACTCACCTAGGGTAAGGGGTGATGTTTTGATGTTCATCCTAATGTTAAGAAGATACCAGTACTTAATGCCATGAAATGAAATCAGCACCAAGCCACCGTTGAATTTCAATTTGACATATCTATAAATTCAAATTTTAGATCTATTTGTATCTGTTTGACAAGTTTACCACATGCGGGCGCCATTTCATTATTAGAAATTGATTGAACATTGAAACCGACAGAAGGCATATTATAATACACTCTGCAATACCGGCTTAGGTATTTTGTAAGAAATGTAATATGCATGACACGTTTATTTTGTAGGCAAAAACTACATAGGTATTAGGTAGCAAACGGCAACATTGCAACTATTTAATTTGCCGTTAGATAAAAAAATACACGAATATGTGTTATATTTATTTTGCAAATGCTAGTGAACCGCTTGCATGCAATATGTCAATTTTGGAAATAGTTTAAATAATGTTATTGTTGTTAAAGTTGTTATTACCTCCATTTTCCTCCTAAGGTACAACTATTCAACCGGGAATAACTACAACTGCGATTCCATCAGATATAAGCACTGAGACCCAAGGGGAAGGAAGTACAACCATAATCCCGATGTTGAAAACATCCCCAATACCAAAAGAAAGTACCTCTGAAAGACCGAGCGACGTGGTAACAACTGCAAATGAAAGTAAGCAATATTTAATCGGACGTCATACAAGTTTGTGTTAAAGTAAATGCTCTTCTAGCTGGTACACGGAATTGTCAAAAGTATTGATGTATATCTTCACTGTTTTAAAACAAAACTTCCAAATCAGTATTATCAATCAATTAAATTGCATAAGTCGAAACATATGCAAATGATGTCAATAACGCATGCAATACATTAATTGTATTGATTATTTTGAGTAAAACAATATTAGTAAATTTTAAACTTTGCAAATATCGGTGATGAAATGAAATATTAGATGAAAAAACATTGGCTTGCCGAAAGGGCGGTAGTCGTCGCGCCATGCATGCGCTAGATATGGGGGGGGGGTCATATAAACAAAGATGGCGACTTTGAATGTTG